TCATAAGTTATGTATGAATTTCATTGCCTTTAAAAATTAAGTGCAACTTTCTCATCTGTCTCTGTACAGGATTTGCTGTTGGCTGTTAATGAATCCTGATTCCCAGAAGAAGCAGCAGTCCCTGGACATGAGAAGCCACCACCATTTGACCTTGGACATTATCCATGTACTTAATGTACCTCACTGCAGATATGTCCTAAACAAAGAGCCAGCTTATAAAAATGAAAAAGATTCAGTGAAAAATGCTGACTACTAACAGAGAGAGTTGATCCATGCCAAGATTTTATATCACAGATAAGCAGTGTATGAGGCACTTGTCCTCTTATTAGAATATGAATGTATTAATATGATCCAAGTGACATTTAGGGAAATGAATAGCCCATTATTCCATAGGGGGTCTCATTAAAGATAGCCTCTCCTGAGATTGCTCAGTGGCAAAGTTTGTAAGTGGATTAGTAGGAAGCATGGAGAGAATGAATGAACTTCAGTGACTGCTCCTTATAATGACTCCAGGTAATTAAAAAGACCAGAGGTATCTGGAGAATTCTAAGTCTAATAGTGGTCTAACAGTATTTTAAAAACATCTAATGATGGAGTTAATTGAGCTTTAGAATTCATTTAGCTGGTCCTTGCATTAACAAGTAGCTTTTATGTGATGGAGGAATTAGAAGTTAAATATTGTCTCAATCAGTCTTCAAAGATGTTTCCTATTTTCTGTGTTGGCCATTATTAAATAGTAATGTTTATGCAAATTATAGTGCCAAAGCCTTTTCAGTATCGGAAAAGGTTACCCTCAAAACTCATTAACTTTCAGCCACCATGTTCACAAAGAAGTACAAGACAAAATGGGTGCTCAAGGCAGTGCTACAAGCTGAGTACAAATCCAGGCACTCAGAGGACATAGTCAGGTTCAGGAAGGCATTACTATTCACTGCCTTCTCCTGAGATCTTGGTAAAGAATGAGGGAAGAGACAGTATTCACTGGTTGTCCAAATAGCAGGTTTTATTTTTAATCTGGGTCTCAGTAGAACTGCATTCTCTATATGTAAATGTTTAAAGTGGGGAGTTTAGATGAACAGATGAGGATCTGATTTTCTTGGGTGGGATTTAGTTCATTTAACTGCTATGTTCCTGTATCTTGGGAGTGCAATGAAGCAGACCTTTCTGAGGAAGTTCCTAAGTTCCTTAGATAGTCAAAACGAGAAAGAGAAATGTCTTTAAGTCCACTAGAGATGGTCATGTACACCTAATTCCTGTACTCAAACTTGGATGAGTAAGAACTCCCTCTGGAAGTTTTTACAGTCACTGTTTGCTTATTCCACCACCTAATGACTCTGAGAAGGTACAGGAAATCATATCAAGAACCATCAAATCAGTCATAATAACAATAATAACATTTAATTTTCCATATTTTTCTGTATTCTAAGAAAAGCTATTAAAAGCTATCCACTACAGCCATGCTGCCTCATAGACAGCCTAATAGCAGCAGGAATGACACTGAGCTCTGGAGGCCCAATCACACTGAGCATCAGTCAAGCTACATCTCCTTGATGTGCTCTTGCCAGAACCTCAGAGGCAACCAGACCCTTCCAGACCCTCAACCTGTTGCTCTGACTCGAAGGAAAAATCAGTACTTATCTGACCGCAACTGCATTAAAAACAAAAAACAAAAAACAAACAAACAAACAAAAAAGGCTCTATTTGTTACTTTTTTTTTATTCTCACCATCTCAAGAATCCATGCATTTTTTTCTTCTTTACTGTCATCTTTCTTTCAAACCTTCTCTGAAAATATATGTCTTCCCATTTCTCTGTTTAATACTCTTGGTATATTTTCTAATTGCAAAACATTTTGAAACACATTTTGCATGAAAGACACTGCCCTGAGGAAGGGCCAACTCACACTGTGTTGTTTGCATAGAGAGCATGAAGGAGGAAGAGCAATAAAAGAGCAACTTAATTACTTTGGAGCCGTGGTGCTTCCTGCTGCCACAGCCCCTGCATGAGGTCCTGACGCAGCCACCAGCCTTGGTGAGAGAGGCCTGATCTTGTTGACAACTCCTCTGGTGCAGCTCTACCCAAAGTCACTGAGCAGCTCACAGCTAATGAACAGGCCACAAAAAGTGGCAGGACGTCAGTGACGTAGCCCAGGCTAAAAAACTTACAGAAACAGCAGTGACCTCCAAAAAGCACAAAAGCCTTTCTGCTCTGTTCCTCTTTTTGCCCTGTTCTCTCTGCTCTGCTGAACAAATCATAACCTCTGCTAGCAGTGCTGTTCACCTCCCTTTGAGAGGTGCTTTATCTAGGAAAAGAATGAAAAATCAGAGCACAGCTGCAAAAAGTAATTCTCACTTGTGGCCTAAGTACTCGTATTTTTTGTACCTGAACATGCTAGGATGATATGACCTAGCCTACATTGCGTATGTTGAGATTGTGAGACACAGTGGATAGATCTGGATCTGACTTCTCAGTTTCTTCCAAAGCCAAGGATTACTAGTGACTGTGCCTGATGCTCTGGGGTAAGCACATTCATCAGCAGGAAGAACTTGAGAATTTTCTCATTCTTCAGTGGATTCAGCTTTGAGCAAAAATCCACAAAAGTAATACAAGCCCAAGCAATCATAGTTTGTTTCCTTTAGAAAGCACCGGGTTTTTATTCTGGCCAGTCCTAGCAACAGCATGTCTGTCTCAGCAGCCACTTCAGCTCTGCTGCATTTGCCTTTCCTTCTATTCATCTCGCTGCTTGACCTTGGGAAAATTCTTTCTGCCTGTCCCAGGTTGCAATTCCAGTGCTGGAAAAATTGAGATATAACCGAAACCCTTCCATTCACTGCTTTCTTATTTTCAAGATTCAAACATTTTGCTTTACTGCTTTTGGTTCTCTTATCTCCTTAGAATTTTGTACCTGGGAACTTATCTATATGCAAAATCAATGTTGAGAGCTCCAATGCACCATCTGTCTCTGTTTATACCCAGTGACATCCCAGACACAGGGCTTGTACCAGAAAGTCTCTACCTCTAGCCTGAGTATACAAATAAAAAAGGATATAGCAAATTCTCTGCATTGTTTTAAATTATTCCAGCAGGATTATCCACCTCTAATCTAACCAGTACTGTAGTAGGTGTCTACAACATTTCTTTCCCTACAGTTTCAACACGCTTTGCTTGCTATTCCCACAGAAGTTTATGCAATCAGCAAGTTCACTGTCAAATGTGCCCTTTTCTGCAGTGGCTGCAAGTTGAAGTGAGCCAGAGGTCTGCTTCCAGGTTTGGAATATCATGGCACTAACTGATACGGTATTCTTTTTTTGTTCATATGCCATGCATATGACTTTCCACTCTGAAAAGCCAAAACTAAACAAAAAACCACCCCACAAAAACCCACAAAAACATTGATTTCCTTTCTCATAGGTGAAATATGGAGCATTTTTGCCACTTGAAAGTCAAACCTGTCTCTTATATGCCACTGCATTCACTGGTTATTACCAAGGAGAAATAAGGCTCATTCTTGGGAATTATTTTTCCTTTAAGTTTTGTCTTTTTCCTATCTATTAATATGTCTTGTTCCTCCAAGACTGACTGTTTCATGACATTCCAAGTTACTCTTCTAATGAAACTGTGTAGACTGTATCAAAGAGAGCACATCTCACAGAAGTGCCTCTGCAGCACATTATGGACTGCACATCTCCCTAAGAGCAATTTAAAATGAAGAACAACCTTTTCCAACATCCTTTCAGAACTGCACGTGGACATTAGCCAGACACAAGACTGAGCTGCACAGTGTGCATCTGCTCTTCACAGTGCTCATCATCACTGATATCTAACCCACAGAAAAGTCATTTGGCCAAAAAAAGCGTGGATGAGACAAGCGTACTAGAAGCCAGATGAACCTTTCCTTCCTCAGTGTCCATGGAAGGAAATGTGTCTGATCCAGCCAACACTTTCTCGATATTTCATTCCAGAGCATGTGGTATCTGCAGGTAAGTCATTCTCCAAATGAACTAGGGAAGCCAGGTTTTGTTCTCATTTACACTACCTTATTATCTCAGTTGATGTTAGCACAACTATTCATTCACTCCAGAGTACGTGATGTCAAAGTATCCCTAAAGGTCTCAGCCAGCCGAAAATCTGGCAGAATTTTCAAAAGCCATCTGCAAGTTTTCACTTTCCAGGAAACCTCTTTTCTACCCCATTGCTTTGCTAGGTCCAGCTCCTTTATGGTGCCACGATCTGACCCCCTCTGCAGACGCTCTGCTCCGAAGGATCTCGCATTTCCCACTCTGCCCAGTGGAATACGGACTCAATATGGGGGGGTTTTTGTTGTTTTTTCGAGGGACCAGCCCGGGCTCGTTTCAGAGATGTACGCTGTGCGACAGCCGCGGGACGGTAAGAGCCAGGTGTTGATGCGGGTTTGTACGATGCCGGTGCCTTCCATCCCGCAAGGCCGGTGAGGTGGGGGGCTCGCCCCACTCCCAGCTGAGCGCAGCGCCTCGCCCGGGCTCCCGCACAGCCCCAGCCCCTCTCCCAGCACAGCCCGCCCCGTCCGGGCGCTGGAGCAGGGGCCGCCCCTCCCGGCAGCGGGCGGGAGACGGCGGGGACGGGCGAGGGGCGGGCCGGGAGCGGCGCCGCCTCCGCGGCCGCGCGGGACGGCAGCGGGAGCCGGAGCCGGGGCTGGAGCCGCGCCGGGGAGCGGGGAGCGAGGAACGGGGAGCGGAGCTGCCCCAGCGGGGCGGCTGCGGGTGGGAAGGGGCCGCGCTGCCGCTTGTGCCTGAGCCGGAGCATCCCGAGCCGGAGCATCCCGGCGGCGTCAGCCGTCTGCTTTTCGAGGGAGGTCGACACTCCGTGTGCGGGGCGTTTTTTCCTGCCCCTGCCCTCACCCGTGCGCGTTGTTCGTGCTCTCGGTGCCAGCGGAGCCTCGGCGAGCACGGCTGCCCGGCTGCCCGGCGCTGCTGCTCGCACGTTCCCGGGGCCGCTCGCTCCCGCTGTCCGGCGCCGAGCGGTGCCGCGCCGGCTGAGGCGGGTCCCGGCGGGTCCCCGGCGGGTTTGGGAGGCTGCTGTGCGCCCTGGAACAGCTCCCGCCGCGCCTCGCCCGTGCTGCTGCTCCGAGGGAGCATCTTTAGCGGTTTGCCTGTCCTGTGCTGTAACCAAGGGCAGTTGGTTTTCACAAGCGTTTAACCGAGGTATGTGTTTTGTGGCCTGCGCTTGATCGTTCACAAACGTCTTTTGGAAAGAACCTGTATTTAGCCTAACTCACTTCGCGGGTTGGCGAGTGCTTGAATTGAACGAACGCTTCTTGGGTTTGGAGAAATTGCTTTCGGCGGAGGCAAAAAAGGGGAACGCTCTGGGAGAGCGTGGTGACAGCACGGGGCTGCACAGCTTCTGGAAGGAGGGATGCGGAGAGAAGGGAGGCACGGGCTGGTTTCTTTTGCTGAAAGATGCTGCAGCCCAGGGGTGTGATAGCGCAGATCATTGGGTCATCACTGTGCAAGCAAATTCTTGGCTCAGCGGGCATAAGAACAGGCTGCCACCCGTGTGCTCTTTCACAATGCTTGCAGAAAGATGACGGGGAAAGCATTGCTCCCTCTGCAAATAAATTGTAACACGCTTATCCAATGTAGTGGGAGAAGAACTGAGCTTATTCAGCACAGCATGGAAAAAAACACAGGATGGATGCACAAAAATATGCCCTTTGCAAGCATTTTATGTCTGCCTGAAAGCTGCAGGCTGTTTCAACATCATCTTGCTAGATGCAATAAAGTTTGGAACAGAAATCAAGTAATGCAAACTCTTCCTAGCCTTGCAAATACTAAACAGTTACAGGCAAATTGTGAAAATAGTGCTAAAGGGCCGAGAATTTGCCATTTATATAAGCAAAGACAATTAGGAATGCATACTAGCTATTATTTAATTAATTCTCAGCTAATTATAGCAGAATGGGAGAAAGATGAATAGGAGAAATGTATAAAATCTGGACCATATAAGATGCATATAGTGCTGGCAGTTTTATTGTGATAAGGGATCCAGCTGGAATGCCATGTCTGTTTCCTTGTGCTTTTGCTTTTTACAGTCATTTTGAACCTACTCTAACTTTCCTGTGCCTGAGCAGACTGAAACAAAAGGCAACCTGAAACCACCAGCTGCCTTCTCTCTGCTATTATCCCTAGAAGGGCTTGTTCTCCTTAGGGATGGTTGCTGGTTGTAGCTGTGTACTGGCTGCCTTCCTTTCCCACCTCTTCCTCAGACTGGGCCACCCCTATCACCCCAGGTGGGGAAAGAAAAGGCAGGCATGTCCCCCCCCTGCCTCCCTCATGTTTCCCCAGCTTTCCTGTGCTCTGCTACACAGGCTGGCCTGCCTGCAGGCTGCTACTTGCTACATCCAGTAAGTATGCTTTGCTGTCAACAGGATATATGCTGCAGGACCTGGAACTGTTGGGGAAGGGGTCTTAGGCTATTTCAGCATCCAGGTCTAATCTAGTACTATCACCATGAATGTATGTATGTGAATTTATTTGGCATAGGAAGCTGTTGTCGTGGACATTTTGCTAACCTTTTCAGATGTAAAAGGCTGAACTAGGATAACTCATCTCTGCCAAGTGTCTTTGTTCATAATTGGGTCTTACTGGTGCAGTGCAAATTGTAAATTGTCTTCTGTAAATTCTCTATCAGAGGCAGGAAGCAACAGAGCCTTTCCTTCTTGCACCCCATCTACACAGAAGCAGAAGAGGAATTATCTCAACAACAAGAGTACATTCAGAAGTTGCTGAAAAATCTGGTGTTCCTTATAGGTCTGAGACTTGGAATCTAAATACTAAAAAGTCAGTATATTTTCACCTCTACCTCCTGCACTCTTTTGCAAGCAGTCCTCCCTCTGTGTCTTCATGACTGCGGTTGCCTCCTTTTCCTGGCTTGCGCAGAGGAAATCCTGTTACGACAGAGCCGATCCATGGCACTGCTGCAAAACTCACCTCTTAGCCTGCATCTCCCCTCTTTGTCAGCCCTTCTGCTGCTCCCTCTTTCTCCCTGCATCTGACATGAAAGTCTGAGGCTTCAAGTGTCCTTGACAGTCGCCCTGTACATGAGGTACCAAGTCTCCTGTTTCCCCAGGATGTACCCCTGGGCTTTGATCAGCCTGTGCCCTCAGCATCTTTCTCCTTCAAGTCATCATCTCTGCATTTCTCCCAGCTCCACCTTGTGCTTACTTGTAACTTCATATAGGCACTTTGTCCATCATTCCTTTAATTTCCTTGAAATGTCCCAGCACATTTGCTTTGGTTTGATGCCTTCAGCAGCCGTCTGGTGAGATGCTAAGACAAGCCCTCATCCAGTCTGTCATCATCCCTGCCACTGGAATTACACTTGCTCTGGACTGGAGCACGACAGTGTCCTCTAGAGCTAGGACATCTGAGAGGCAGTTGTTGAACAGATCACTCTATCTAGCACCAGCAGAAACTCTCCTTCCATAGCCTACATTATCCTGACTTGTTCTTTTTCGGCATTTCAGGCGCAACCCTGCCCCCTTATGCTTGCACAGCACAGCATGGCTCGCTGCAGCTCCCTTTGCAATCGTGTTGACTCTTTGCCCGAGTCGTTGCAGGCTGTTTTGCAAACAGGGACTATATGTGAATATTAGGCACACAAATATGCCATGGTTTCTTCATCAGGGGAGGGCATGCATGCAGCCTGTGTTGGTAAAATAAGGAATGGTGGGGATAGGGATCTTCTGTTACAGCAGTGAGGGGAAACAGAGAATCAAAGGAGAAGCGTGGTTTCTTACTTTTCTTCGTAAAGCACAAGGTACCCAAGTCAGGAAGCAGAGTTACAGTGAATGGAGTTACTGTGATAGCACATCTGTGCCTAAAATTCCCTTGACATTTAAATGTACAGACATTTAAGTGTAGTTGATACTGAATCTGCACTTTTTTTGAGAGAAAAAAAACCCTGAAAATGATGCATTAACAGAAATTTCTGTTGAACCAAGTGTAAAAAATTGTGTCCTAGCTTTATATTGTGACAAAGTTCCTAAGAAGGTTGAAATGAAATCTGCTTGACATTTTTGGGTGTGATATGGATTTATTTGTGATTTATAAAATGTGTGATTTATACCTGCTTTTTTTTATAAAATATATTGAAATCAGCATATCAGCTGAATTTTGCAATAGAAAGGTGTTTTCCTATTGTTCCGGACTCTACTTCCTGGCTCACATCTTTGCTAGGTAAGGACCAATAACCCCCTTGACCAGCAAAGTTCACTTTGCTTTTACTGTTCAGCAAAGCTCCTTGCTGTAGTCTGCCCAGAATTCTCCCGAGACGGGAGTGGATGTTCCCATGTGGAGAGTGGGAGATGAGGGCTCTCAGGTACGCTCGTGCGTGGAGCCATGTCATCGGCATCGGGCAGGAGGATGTGCTGCAGCACTGGTAGAGACAATAGAGAGCTTAAGTCCATTCAGTTCCAGATCTAGCCACACTTTGTCCTAAAACTGCATTCCTTGTAGATTAAGGGGACGGGTATGATACTTTCAAGGGGTTTTTCCCTTCTACCTGGAGGTGAACCTGAGGGTCTAAGCCCTGCAAGTTTTTAGTTCCACACATGAGTGTGATGGAAAATGAAAGCAAGCTCAGATAACAAGGACTGCTTGCCCTGGAGCTTGGTATTTTATCTGGTATGATATATTTGGTATGATATATCTGGTTTTGGTCTGAATAAACCATATGCAGGAGCTGAAGCACTGCCCCATGAGAAGTGTGGTGGCTTCAGGAAGAGCGAAGACAGTGCCCAGCCCTCCACTGCATGGCCACTTGGCCTCAGTTGTGGAGTCCAGTGCTGCTCTGCCTGTGTCAAATAAAAGAGGTGGTTATTGGGAGCCCATGTGAAGAGTCAGGCATGAAGTGGTGAAGCTTAATTAACTTTTGTTTGTTCTGAGATTAATTACATCACCGCTATGCCACACAGATGTATGCTGGATTAATCTCCTGAGAGGCTTCTCAGTTGGTGGGATGCTCCACACAGCCTTCGGAAAGAAGGGATAGCAGGAATGGGAGGCTCAACCACTAAAGAAGGCAACAAAGCAGAGGCAGTTGAAATACTTTCATATACTTGTTCCACTGAGGAAAATGGGTTTTAATGGAATTTTCATTTCTCATTAAGCAGCCATTCCACACTACACTAAATTTTCTGTTCAAACAAAACTTCCAAATCAGATGTTGCAAGAAATCAAACAAGAAGTCATTACACAAAATGCAGAAGTTAAGGATTCCTGACACCTGCTGGTTTCTCCTCTTCCCTGGCTAACTTTGCCCTGGACCTCCTTTCCAGCCTGGCACCTGGGATCTGCCACTTTGACAGTGACACCTTAGTGGCTGTTTTTGACTGTAGAGGTCAATTACCAAGATTTAAAGCTGTTATGAGCAACCAAACGGCTGTGTGAACCTTCATGTCTTCTCTGCCTGATCACCCACTGTCAATAAACTTAGGAGCTCAAATCTTTTTGAGGTTTCTGCCTGGGTTGAATTTGGCTGAGAGTGGCAACAAAAGTTATTCCGAGTGGCAATAAGGGGAATAGATTTGGGACTGGACACCAAGAAATCAAATATGACCCATCCCCAGGGTCAGCAAAAAGTAGGCTGTTGAGTTTTGGGTGGGTTTTTTTTAGCAACCTGTATTTTTCCACGGGAAATTTTCAAAAGACAAATAAATATTTTTCACAAACCAGCACAGGAAGGAGATTGATTTCCTTGGTGACTATATCCTTTGGGTGAGATTCAGACTGATGGTCTCATAGGATGCTAGACCAGGAGGGCCCCATTTCTCTATCTAAGTTCTCAGAGGCACAGCAGTGAGACTCCTTACCCCTCTCCACGTCCTGAGAGATACAGGGAACAGATAGATCCCTACTCCTTGCATATCTTACTGGCACAGTGAATGAATACACTGTTTGGGCCAATTCCTTTTATAGGCTACTACTACACCTGAAACAGTAAAAATATGTGTGAGGTGCATTAGAGTGGTGCAAGAGGATGAAGGACTGTGGGATACAACTGTGTATGGCAAGAGGTCTTCTGAAGATAAGCTTATTGATGTTCTGGTCCAAGTATTTCTCTGTTCTTCAAAGATAATTAAAAGTTCTGCTCTCCCTGCCTCACTGTGTACAGTTGCCATTTGAATATGAATGCCTGCACTTAGGAAGCTTCAAGGAAGCCTTATGTTTTTCACTTCATGTTTAATCAGCCCAAAATTTGGTAGGCTCTGGGGCCTTGCCTTGCTGGAGATTGTGGCGCTGTTGTATTGAATGAGGGGCTAAGTGGGCTAAAGCAGTGCTCTGTGTATCTGGGGGGAGATGGACTAACAAAGATTGGCCCAAGAAAAAAGAGCAAAATACTTTGTATTTGCTTTGATTGAAGATACAGCCCTGTTGCAGAGATCTATGCCTCTTTCCCCCAGGAAAGAAAGAAAGGGGAGGAAAAGGATCTCTGCTACAAGCAGACAAAACTGAGGGGCATAGGGTAGAGCTCTTGGCCACATGAGGCGTATTTGCCAGAGAAAATGCATACAGGGGCTGCTGTACCCCCTCTCCATCCTGTACCACACCTGCCTCAGCCTCAGAAGCAGTTCTGGGTGAGGTGACAAGGGTGCATACCCTCACATCCAGTGCATATCCTGGGTCCATCTCTGGGGCAGCTGACTTTGGGGTTCACCCACAGTCTCCTACTTCTCCTTCACAAAGAGATGGTCAGGAAGCTGTCTGACTCCCTTTGGTGGAACATTAGTATAGTCAGTGTTATCAAAACATTTGGATTTCAATAATACTGTCTTTTAACAGCTGCACTAGACAATTTTCTTTATTGAACTTGGAGAGGCTTAAACCAGAAGTGATTCAGTGACTGAAGGGATGAAAGCAGCACAACAATGCATCAACATCCATCCCCAGAGATCTGCTTCTCTAACACAGTCAAACCAAATGTGCTGAAGGGGCAGAGCTCTAAGATGTACAGTGATTGTGAAAGTGTCTTTTGTCTCCCAGAGGGGAAAATCTGTTTGAGATTGGCCCTCTTTTGCTTTAATGTGTATAATTTCTTCATACACAAGAAATTTAATTTACTTTATTAAAAACAATTCAGGGGCTATGTTTTAATTTTAGGTATTGAATGCATGTAGCACACAAAATTCTTCTAGCTATTCATGTGCACATAACATATTCAGTTTGGATATTTCAAGTATGTCAAAATTTAAACTGCAGATAGTCAGAAATAAAGAGGATGAATAAATAATAGTGTGTAATCCAAAAGACCGGATTCCTGGCAGGAGTCTTCAGGGTATAATGTGAAATGAATTGGAGAGCAGATACAGTGCTCTAGTACTTAAAAATGTGCCAGAGGACAAATGTCTGTCTTGGTCCTTGAGCACACAGCAGAACAAAGGTAAGGTGTTATCAAAGCCTGTCTGTAAAACAGAGTTCTGGATCATGGTTTTGATGCTGTACATGCCGTGCTGTAACAGGGCCACAGAAGGATGTTGTTAGCAGGAATAAAACACAAGCCAGGGTTCCAGTTGATTGGGCTTTTTTCCCTTGAAATTTCTGCCAGTAAGAGCAGTCAAAATTCAGCACTTGTCCTTCCTTTATTGTATTATTATTGTTGGAGTTATTATTAAACTATTCCACTTTTATTTGCTTTTTTATAGGGGCTTTTCTCAGCATGCAGTCCCTTTAGATTTGGGCGTGAACACCAACCACATCCTCTGCATTGGACATATAGCTTCTATTTCCATATCTTCTTCCTGCTTGTAAGTATTTTATTCTTTCTCCTTGCTTATTTTTCTTTTACTATTAAAGAACAGATTTAACTCATGGGTTCTGGGTCTGATCCCAGGTCACAATGTTTTTGATTTACATTGATACAAATGACTCTATAATCCACAGATCCATGGGAAATGTAAATTAGAGAATTGTTGGAGCCTATCTGAATTAATCTAAGTATCCTTATGGCTCAGAGGGTTTCCTTTTTACAGCCCCACACAAACCCCCAAACAAAATATAACTTGATTTTAACCTGCAACCAAGCCATCTGGGCACTTGTCTTCTTAGATTTTCAAAGACATAAATTTAAATCATATTAAATCATAATAAAAAATGAAATTAGATAATAAATTAAAAGGAAAACTTTGCTTGTGGCAGGAAATAGTTTTTCTTTTCCTTCTGTGCTCTATTTTATTGAGTCAGTTGGCAATTGATCCTGTTTCCCAGGCAGAGTTGAAAAGGGATTCTCTGCTCCTGGACGGTCCATCTGTAATGGAAAAAGGAAGCATCCTACTGACTTGTGGTCTTTAATTGCCAAAGGCATGCATCCAAGAAGAAGTATTAAGGATCATATTCTTGTTCAACTGCGAGCTAGAAGTCATTCTTTGCCTTTCCTACCTACATTTTCAATGGAATAAAATGTTGCTCACATCTTTTTTCCTGTCTAGAGCTACTGTCCTATTTAGTTGCATGATGTTAAACTGCTACACTTTTCCAGTCTAGAGCATATTGCCTTTCAAGGCTGTAGTGCTCCTGGTACGTAAAATTCATTCAGCCCTTTAGTATGAGCATGCAAACATATTTTTATTGGCATTAAATATTTTGTGTTACATGTTTGCTGGAAGGGAAATATTGGCAACCTAGGAAGGAAATAAGTGTAGAAAACAAGAGTGGGAAGATGAAAGAATTAAACCAGGAGCTCCCTGGCCTTCATACATATATCAATCTAGTGAAGACTTGCTGCCAGCTTTTGGGACCAATCACTGTGATAGCAGAACTTGGGGAGGAGCAACACATCTTTAGGGATGAGTAAGTCTTAGAACTGGCATCACCATGTCACCTGGGAACCTGCACAATCTTCCTCCTGCTCTTCCTGCCCTGCTACAGCATGTTGAAGTTTGGCCAGATGAGGGACCTCTCTGTTGTAACTGTGCTAAAGGCAAATTAAGATCTCATCTGTTAGGAGATGTTTACAATAAAGGCTTTCTAGGATACCTTCTACCTGTAAAGAAACAGTTCATAGGAGATTGTGACAAAAGTGTTAGCTTATGTAATACACAAACGTTGATTTTCTTTGATGTCAATTTGTCTCTCTGCTTTTGAAGACACTGAAACAACCAAGATATTTCTCAGCTTGTAGTCCTGAAAATACAGGAAGAGCCAAGAAAATGAAGTGCTTTTCTGTGGCTGATAAACTCACAAGAAATTGAGTCTACCAGACCTATCTTTGCTGCCTGTTCCTCAGTTTTTAGGGTTTCAGTGGTGTGAGTGCAGGCCATTAAATTATATCTGACTGAGCCTGGAGAAGTAGAGTTGTTGCATCAAGATATATGAAGAAATACAATACAGACAGTAAAGCTTTTACAACATTGGGATGATGAAAAACCTCTGTTCATGCCATCCTGCAGAGTGTTGCAGTCTCATTTAATATTCACTTTAGTCTGAACTGGGAGATGGCTACTGTCTTAGCAATGCTAAAGATTAAATTACATATGTTACATATAATGTGGCACTCAGGGCATATGCTAATTGTGAGGCCTCTGCTCCTGACTACACTTACATTTCCTTACAAAATGAATTTTCTAGCAGATCCCATCAAATATGCGGTAGTGGCTAGCTTTGGCATGGCTGCTTAGGTGTGGAACTGCTGGTACCTGCACAGTGATACACAGTGATGCCTTGCCTGATCCCTCACCTGCTCAGTTTGCCCTTCTTCTGGTGAATGCCACCTTGTCCATCTCCTACTTATCACAGGGTAAAAGGAAATGTGAAAAACTCCAACTGAGCCTGCCTACAGCATCTGCCAAGGTGGCTTACCCCTGGAGTAAGAGTGGTTGTCCTCACCTGTGAGAGGTATTTATACCAAGGACATGAATGAAGAAACAATGCACAGCTGGGAGAATATAGCTAAATAGTGGCTCTGGTTGAAAAGTCAGGATGTACAAATGACACCATGTATCTAGGAGAGCCTTTCCTTTTGTGCCAATGCTCATATTTTAGGACCAGAGTAGCAGAACAAGGTTTTGCTCTCTTGTGCATCTAAAACCAGCAGACAGTGGAGGTAGAGTCTGTGCCTTCTTGGACCTTACTGAAATGTGTGAATCTTCTTGGCAGATTGTCCATCACAGCAGCAAGGCTGTGTAACAAAGGAGCAATAGCAGGAAAACTCAGCCATAGTCAGAAAGGCAGAGTATGATCTGGGGCTTTCAGCAGTGAGGCTGCACTGGAGGACTCAGGGAGCCTCCTCAAGTCACACAGCCCTGTCCTGGCATTGCAGAGGTGCCTCTGACAAAGTAATCCAGATCCAGCTACACCACAAAACCTGAGTCCCCCTGCAGACAGGTGCCAGTTCTGCTGTCCCAGCAGTTTTCAAGAGTGGTTAATTGGAAAGACGCCTCCTGTCAGACAGAGTTCTCCATCTGCAGTCATTCAGGAACAATACTTGCAATTCATTCTTTGCCTTAAACCAACTCAACTTTCCAAAAACAGATGAGGGAAAGGCAGGGACCACTAGAGAATTGAAAAATTTCCCTGCATTGTTCGTTTCCTGGGTCAGTTTACAGCTCTCAGAAAGACAACAGGTTTATTGCAGTTTACCAGCTTTGCCATTACACTTTGACGTCAGTGACAAAATTCCCAATCATTTTTGAGGACTAGGTATGGGCTAAATCTTATGATGTTGTTGTATTTAGTTTTCAGAAATGCAAAAAAACCCCTAATTAACAAGAAAGTGAATTTGCCATCTGACTCTCTAGGGGTTATTTCTTCAGGAGGATCAGGGTAAGAGAGACAGACACTTCATGGCACTTACCTTCTTCTCCCAGCAAAAGCAGGAACCTGAGCTGAAGTGGTGGCTGTGGTGCACTGAATAAAACTACTCATGGCTTCATTTGGAATCAGAGTTTACATCACTACAAAATACTAATTTAAAAATAGCCTGGGTGATGTTGTAAGATCTATAAAAGCTCTGATTTAGCAAAACACATCTCTGCTTAACTGAGTTTCTGATTAGTCCTATTTAATACTATAAATTTTCCACTGACTTCAAAAAAAGTCCCTAAAAATGCCAAAGTTATTCCTTGTACCAGGGTCAAGTGTTAGTAGTAAAAGCAGAATGTAGTAGATTTTAAATTTGTGAGAAATTTAAAGGCTTTCAACTTCTGCCATGTTAAAGAATTCATGTGAAGTAATTCCTTAAATTATTATAGAGCAATTCAATTGATAACGGATCTAATTTTCGTTATGACACGTAATTAAGAATAAACATCTTCTACATCAAAGCCTATCTTTTAAAAAGGATAAATTAGCTATAACACACTTAACTATTTCCAGAACATGAAATGAACACATATTGTTCCATTAGTTAATTTTATATCACCAAATTAAAGACAGTTCAAAAGGAATATAATCTCATAAAGATCTCTCTTTGTTCGGTCTGTTGTGACTTATTTCAGGAGATACAACAAATACGGTTTCCTATGGGGTTAAATATTATTAGGGTGATAAAATGGTTTTAGTTTAGTATATTTTATGCATCACTATGAGTTATAGACCATAATGGTAAGAATTTTTTTATCTGATATTTGCAGATGCAGTTTTGCACTCCTGTGTATCTTGCAAGCTGTTGGGATGCTTGATTGAGACCACCAAAAGCTCCAGTATAAAACAGCAAACACAATAAATAAACAATAAAACAACATCTGGAATGTAACCTTTTTTCCATAGCCCTTAGATAGTCCTGTCATGCTTGCTGGGCTGGCAGGGCTGCCCATTCCTTGGGATTTTGCTTGGAGGAGTCAGAAGCTGTATCACTCCAATGAAACATGCCTGCCATTGGTATCTTAATGGCAGAATTACAGCAAGGTACATTTTCATGTTTGAAGCCATTCAAAACATTTAATAAATACACAGCAAGAGAGCAAGTCTGGCAGATTTTCTGATTCTGGGTACCTTTGGCAAGACACTGTGGAGTAAGTAGGTAAAATGGATTCATTGTCAACTGTGATGTTGAGTGGCTTTGCTCATCTAGGTTGAGGAGCTGAAGTCTTGAGAGGGAGTTTCATTACTTGACTAGATTTTTTATCACAAGATAAATTGGATTCCAGTACCTGTGTCCAATATAAAGTACATTTTTGATTGTGCTCTTCTGCAATTAAACAACTCGTGGTTGGAAAGAGTCAATCCATTAGGATTCAGTAGGATTTCTCCTAATCACTGCATTTTGAAAAATTGAGATATAGAGATAATTGCTGATTAATTCTTTAAGAAGTGCATCTTCGAGCTAAGAAATGTAACTCTTAAGACCTAAATTATATCAGGTGCACATTATCTGCTAGTAAATTAACCTTGCTTTTTTTTTTTTTTTTCCTTGCAGTTCTGAAGGATAAAATCTTAAATTGTCCTGGGCTTGAGCAGTAAAGGATAAATTCATTCTCTGGCTGACTTGTCATCTCATCGTTGTGATGGAAAAATGTTCGCTTAAAATAAACCCTTTTTATGCCACTAAAACTGCCTTCAAATACAAGATCTGTTGTGATTTTTAAAACACAAACCCAATAATGTCAGAACCCGACCCTTCATCTGGATTTGTTGGAAACATGGAGAATGGGACTTTTCTGGAGCTGTATCCCACATCCCTTTCAACTTCAGTGGATTCATCGCCTGGCCGTTTATCCAACGTCTATGTCTATGTTTCTATATTCCTTAGTCTCTTAGCTTTTCTCCTTTTGCTACTGATCATTGCACTTCAGAGGCTGAAAAACATCATTTCTTCCAGTTCCTCCTACCCTGAGTACAATAGTGATGCTGGAAGTTCGTTCACTAATTTAGAGGTTTGCAGTATTTCTTCCCAGCGCTCTGCTCTCTCAAACCTTTCTTCATGAAAACAAATGAAAGGAAACACACGAGGAATGGAAGAGCTTTGTCTGGTCTCTTGGGGAGGTAGTGCATGTAACATTTGCCTTAGAAGACTATTATCAAGAGGTGTTTTTAAAAGTTTCCTTATTTTTTTTCCCCTCTCCTTTTCTAGTTTTCATTTCCTCTTTAACTAATTTTAATTTTGGACAATGGATAATGAATGATACCTGATAATCACTTCTTGCCTGTAATAGTGATGCTGTCTCTTTCTCACGCATAGACGGTGTTCATTAAGAGTGTTCCTGCCAAATAGTAATACACTTCTAACTGGATGTGTCATTTTTCTGCTTTAATTGTGACCCCTTCCCTGGTCTTGTGTCAGCAGTATGCTGACTGTTTTTCTTTTCCTTTTTTAATTATATAAGGACTTCTGGATGAAATCCCTATTGCAAAAGTACAAAAAAACTGCTTAATACTGGGACAATTTAAAGTTGTTGATATTGTTTCCTTTTTTTCTTTTTAGTTTTCACATATTTTTCAGTGTTTATTGATGTTTATAAAACACAACTAATTCTTGAAGAATGTTGCTTTTGTTTATTTGTACTTCCAACTCGTTCTGTATAAAGTCTGTATTTCAGTTTTTGAGTCTCTTTGGTTAACTTAGTAAAGCGACTACAATAACAATGCTCACGGTTGAATGTGTGGAGGTATTTTTGGACCCCATTGCATCTTATTATCTTATTTGCCTGATAACATGTTCCTCCAGGGGGCAGCTTTTGCTGCTGAATCATAAATACCACACAACTCCTTTTCATTCTTCACCAATACTGCAGCTTATTCTTACTGGATACCAGGACAAAGTAGGGGTTTCTTGTAAAAGACCTGCATTTAACAAATACAAGTACCAAGTGAGGAGCTCCTAAACTGTCCTTTAAGGATATGATGTTTGTACTCACGTGAGCAGGGCCAGCAGGGACAGAAATTGCTTGTACTGATGAGGGCTTTCTGGGCCAGCCTTTGTCCTGTGATTTCAGAAATGTGCAGTGGGTGGAAGGGGGCACACATGGCTCTGCACAACGGCCAGGAAGACCTGAGCTCTGACCTGCAGGAAGTGCAAGGTGCACCTGCAGAGGGTAGGAAGGAATGGGCAGGATAAATGGCAGTGGCTCTGCCACTTTTCCCCATCAGAATAAGGGAAGGCCAGCGAGAGGGGAAGAGAAATGGATTCACTACCTCATTCCTCTTTGTCATGTCATTTTCTGGGTTATCATTTCCCCTGCTCAAAGTGTAACCTGTCACTCTATTTCTGCAGTAAAATAATGAGCAGCTTTGTGAACTGGATCCTGTGGTCTGCTGGGCTTTAAATCAAGCCAAACATTCAAATTTATGATTTGAAGTGCCAAGTATGACTAGAACTGCAACCCCAGACTGGTACAACGCCTTGTTGTCCTTACTGCACTGTGTGAGCACAGCTCTGTCCTGCCACCCAATCCCATGCAAATTTTGTTCTCATGGCTGGATCCAAGTCACTGGAGAGACCTAAGAAAGGTATGGCATTGTCACTGACATAACACAGGTGTAACTCTGGGAGATGGGATAATCTCAGTGGGAGCAGCTGCCCTCCCCTCACATGGCACCACTGCCCAGCAGGCCGAGGGGTTAGGGAACACTTCCCAAACACATTTATACCTCTTGCCAAGCTGTCCATGCATTTGTAAACAAGACAGACTCTACCATTCACTACACAGGCTTTAAAGTACAAATTTGGAAAATCTGGTGTAAATATAATCATTAGAAATGCAGCTGTTGTTGCCAAACAATACAGATGACGCTGGAGTTGGTGTTTTCAGATTTTAAAAGTAGACATGCAGTATGGTAAGTGGTATTGACTTATGGTGGTGATTAGTTCCTTACAGAGGCCAAATAACTTGCTGACTAATAAAGGATGTAAACCTGCAGATTCCCTGAGCCAAACTGGTTTGATGGATATATTTACAGATTGGAATATTCTATTCATCTAGACAAAAGTTTCTTGTATGTCACTTTTCACCGTATTTGACAACTGGCCTTGAAAAAAGAGGTAGCTGTTTAAAAGGGATCAGAAAACATTACTACTCTTCTGAAAGCTCTTTGAAATCCCAAATCTGTTACAGAATGTATTTGTATGTTCACTGGCAGATAGAAATAAACAAGCTGTAAATCAAGACAGAGCAACTGTTTGACTATCTTCCCTTACTGACAAAGCTGTAAATTTGTTGCTTCCTTTGCTGCAAATGGAGAAATTTAATCAAAACCAGAGATGAGACCACAGGTCAAGATGGGTGTTTGTTCCCAGCAGTGTGTTTATACTTGCAGATATAGAGACATTTAATATTAAAATATAAACTGTTGAAACCCCATCGGCTGTGTTCAGAGCTGTTATCAAACTTCACCAAACAGAAAGCATTTTTCCAACTGCAGAAAATAGCTATGATAACTGAAACCACACATTTGATTTTGCTTTGTAGTTTACTAGATGCTATTAACTTTTTGTCCACTCTGCAGTGACATACAGGACTGTATAGTCATCACGATTTCAGCTGAGTTGCATCTGTTCTCTTCAGGAGAGAAACAAGTAGGTTCCAACAGAATAGCATCAGGAGAAGCCACAGGCAAAAAGCACAATGGCATTTTTGGGGATTGTTAAGCACCAGTTCTTCAAGAAAAAAAGAAAAGAGGAAAAAGAAAAGAAATCCACCTGAGAATCTGAGCCTAAGTTAACCTGAGAACACTGGAACAGGCTTCCTAGGGAGGTGGTGGATATCCCAAACCTGTCAGTGTTTAAAAAGCACTTGGACAATGCTGTTATCAATATGCTTTAGATTTTGGTCAGCCCCAGAGTGGTCAGACAGTTATACTAGATGATCACTGTAGATACCTTCCAGCTGCAAATATTCTACTACTCTATTCCAACTAGAGTTACAGGGATATTTTTTGCTGTGTCCAGTTCTGGGTTCCCAGAAGAAGAGAGAGAGATGTGGAGATATTGCACTGAGCCCAGCTCAGGGCTGTTGAGATGATTAAGGGATTGGAGCATCTCTCACATGAGGAGAGGCTGAGAGAGCTGGGACCGTTTAGTCTATAGAAGGCTCTGAAGGATCTAATCAATGTATATAAATACCTTATGGAAAGAAGGAAGAAGAGGTAGCTGGGGCCTTCCCAGTGGTGCCCACAACAGTAGAAGAGGCCAAACTGAAACATGAAATTCCACAAGAAAATAGATTATTAAGGGGGTAGTCAAACACTGGCACAGATTGTCCAGAGAGGCTGTGGTGCTTTTGTGTGTTGACCTGCTTGCAGCTGACCCTGCTTTGGGCAAGACGACTGGATCCAGCAATCCTCAGGCAGCCCCCTTCATGTCAGTGCAAAAACTCAGAGGCTTCTGGCTTGCTGCCTCCTCCGGATGTGTTTTCTCATCCCTGGAGCTGAGTAAGCAGTATCTTTACTGGGAGGTAATTATTTCAATAATTTGTTGCTGAAGAGCTGCTCAGCTCCCCCTCCTCCCTGCAGCCAAATACTTTTCCAGCTTCTCCACTGCCGTTTTGTGGTGTGGGCTCACATTTCACAGTCAGCTTTTTCCTTGAGCTGTTTTCAGTTGTTACTGAGCCCTCTAACTCAAACACTGCCATTAACTTTGTTATGATACGACTCCAAGACTGCAGAGTATCAGGTAGTTGTAAAGTATACCTGTAAATCTATAGAAAAAGAATATAAACAAAACAAGGATGAGGAAAGAACTGAAGGAGTTTCTGGAAAATGCAGAAAAAGTATTTTGCTTCAGTTCACCAAATATGGTCCATTCAAGCATATTTAATCAGAGTACCTGAAATATATAGCAGCCTCTACATCTGGGACTTTCTTGCACAGTTTGTCACCTCAGCCCTACTGTCAAGTTAACCCATTATATTTAATGGGTTAAGAAGATTACCACATATAAGAAGATTACCACATTATTCCCATCCTGAAACACTGTCATGCTTTTCACTTAGAAACTCTTCAGCTCCGTGGAGAGTTTATTCCACTGAAATTATTTTCAGTGTTCAGCCCTTCTCTGCCAGCTCACTTGAAAGGTTTGTCTCTGTAAGCTGAAAGTCTTGTCTGGATTTCCAACAAGTCTTTTACCCTGGGAGCAAGCATTACTCCTCTTCTGTGCAGCTGGTTTGCCTTCCCCTCATGGTACTCCAGCAAGGCTGAATCCCCAAGGAACATCATGTCCCACTGTACTTGAGATTTTTCCCTTCAGCGTTTTTTATTTTTTGGTGAGAGCCCTAGCAAGGACACCTACGTGGGAAGATTATTTACAAGCTCCATGTACCTCCTATTCTTCTTGCTAGTCCTGTTTGTACTGCATCTGCTCCAGCTGTCCAAGGAGACCTGGTGAGCTCCAGCCCGGCTGCTCCGGGCTCAGTGACCTTTCTGCACTCCCTGCCTCCCGCAGGCTCCCAAAGACAAGGGCCCCGCTCTGTGGCTACAGCGGACAATTACATGCCCCGAATGCAGGGCGCAAAAGTAGCCTGAAGGAGCCTTTTTTTTTTTTTTTTCCTCTCTCCAAGAAAAGATGGGTTGCTTGCCTGGAGCGTTCCTCAAGCTGCTTTACACCTCAGTGCTGCCGGGCAGTTCGATGTGCCAGCGGAACACAGCCCTGTGCTCGCACCGCTGCTCCACAAAGCTCCTGGCTCGTTCACAACGCCCAAACTGTCCAAGAGGGGCTTGGCCAAGGTCACTCTCCTGATGCCAGATACAGGTGTTCTCCCACCTCCTCCCAGCACTGTGCTTTGGAGATGAAAGCAGCATCAACCTCCTGTGTACCCCTTTCCAAGGGCAGGTAAGCCCATTAGTGTAATCATGATAATCACCACACAGGTGACATCAAGACCCAGGTGAGCTGAGCTATGTTTCACTTCTGTTTTCTTTGGTTTAGATCAGTGGGAGCTGATCATCCACTGAAAGTCTGAAAAGGACTGGTGGCTTGTAGGCTATCAATGTATAAAATCTCCAGGTGGTTCTGAAAATTGGACTGGCTCCTTGGCATAGTTTCACTTCACCTTCTGTCCCTTATAGACAGCAGCAGAATGGCTGCATTTGTTTGAGCACCAAAACATGCAGTTTTAATACAATACATGTCTTTAAACAGCTTCAGTTTAAAAAATCAGAAGCAGAAAATTAAACTTTTAAAAAATATAATCTAATGTATAGCTTTTTGCAAACAAAGTTAGAATTTTTCCTTTGTAATTTTTTTTTGCCAAAATATCTATTTCTAAAGAGAAAAGCTATATAATTGAATTGTAAAAAATGGAGCATTTTATGCCAGCTGTGCTGGCATAATTATTTTTGCCCACAGATTTTTCTAGGTAAGACATTCTACTGTTTTAGGGGACAAAAAATTAATCTATTCAAATATTTCTCTCCTCAATAAAGAAGTATAGGTGTCTGTCAGGGCATTCCTTTGCCACACATATTTACTTATGAAGCTTCACTTCTAACTCTGAATGCTGATCTGGTCATATAGACCTGGTCCCAGAGTACAGTTACATCTCTCTTTTTTTGTTTTTGTTACAGAGTATTATTGATTAGATATAAGATGGAGACTAAGCTTCTAGTTAATGAATTGTGCCCTCAGTGTTCCTTCAGCACAGGCATCGGTTTGTCATTTTTTTTAGAATAATATTAGCCAAAACCCATAAATCACTTGCGTGGCTTTTTCTTGAGCTTGGGCTCAGCAGTTGCTGACAGGTAGGAAATTTGCGTAAAGGACACATTTATGATGGAGATTCCCTGTGTCGTTCATTCAGGGCAAATCCTGCTCCAGTTCCCTGGATGCTCTTCAGAAACTGTTCTTTACATGTCCAGAGAGGGCTTTTTCCAGGATGAGAAATACCTCTATCCTCACATTTAATTTTGCATGGTACTGTAACATTGCTGGAAAACCCATAGGAGTGTGCCCAGTTTCCACAGTAAGAAGTCTGAAGAACAACTAATGCACATTTTCAGTAGTTTCTTTAAAACAGGAGCTGCTTCGTGGTTTTCAGTTTCCATTCATGCTTTGATGTTGGTTTTATTCATAAGTTAACTTCTGAGTGAACATGTCACTGTATTTCTGCAGGAATAATTTTCCTTCACTAACTTTTCTATAGTGGAGAACCTCGCAAATAAACTATTTCAGATTATGGTCCTATGTTATGTCCTATAGTCCTGAAGAAATGCCTAAATTTGCCATTTCAGCCATCACTATGACAACAAGTGCCTGTAGGGGAAAAGGGCAACCCTATTATCTGCTCCTAACAGTGAGTTAAAGTCCGAGCTAGATCTGCCAGACAATTCCAGGTGGTCCAGATTTCATGGTGTTTGTTGTAAGAGACTATCAGTCCTGCTGATGTCAAGTGAGGGGCAAATCTGAGCTTCACAGTGGGTAAAGTGAGATCCTGTGGTCCCATCCTGCCTAGAAAGGGTACTGAGTACACAGATTCCCTCCCACATTGCCACATTGTGGGCATCTTTCATGGGCTGGTGGCCCAGGGAGGATCTGGAAGGACCATGCCCAGATAAATGTGTACTTTGAAAAGGGACCCTGCAGCCCTATGCTACACAAAGAAAAACCAACTTTCAGAAAAAAACCTCTTGATAAAAGTTTTAGAAATTTATTACAAAACATTGTAGCTAATTTTGAAAGTAAAGAAGATTATGCTGACAGATTTATAATTGCTTAGATCTACTGAGAATTCAGAACTAAGCATGTTATTTGACCAAAGGCACTTTCTAGTGTCTAACTCATCAGTATTCATTCAGTGGAAACAGAGCTTGCTATGATGAAAAAAAATATCAGATACTGTAACTTGAACTTTGGCAAGATCAAAAGTAATTAGTTGGGTACTAGAAATCAGAGTGCTTTCAGCTGAAGTGGAAGAGAAGGCAGCAAAAAAAAAAACCTTCATGATTTTGCATTACAGAAAATTATAATTTTAATGTTGGATTATAATGCTGTAATAAAAGGGTTGTTGCAGAGGGAAAATGAAAGTGGGAAAATCAGGAAGACAGACCGACCTTTGCTCAGCTTGGGTGTTCCTATCCTTTGTCATCTGGATTTGTTCAGTGGTTATCAAAAAAGCAGAACTCTGCTGTTGCTCCCTCCTGCACCCTAGTCCATCTGAGTAGCTGTCCTCTTAAA